AATTTTTGAGCAAATGCTAACAAGAGGACTGGTTGACTAGATGACTAGATCACAGATTTTAGGTACACCCAGAGTCTACTTATACCTGGAGTAGAGAGCAAGGTAAGGGTGGAGGACATTGGAAGTCCAGGGAGTGGGAAACGGAGGAGCAGAGGCAGGCAGAGAATGTTTTTGTTCTACCCCGTTTCCTTGGGCCCCACCTCAAACCTCTGCATGGATGTGGAGAAGCCTGAGCAGGCTGGCGCTTGTGGCTCCCTTCACAGGTGTGGCACAGAGAGACGACCAGGCAGGGCCACCAGACAAACAACAGGAAGCCCAGTTACATTTGAATTTTGGATAAACAACCAATACTTTTTAATATAAGTACCTCCCATGCAATATTTGGGACATATACTACATTTTTCCATTGCCTATCTGAAATTCAAATTTAACTGGACTTCTTCTATTTTTATTTGCTAAATCTGGCAGTCCTACCCTGGAAGAACATTTAGCCTGGGGCCTCAGCCTGCCTGGCCAGGGATTGTTGATAGCTAGGCCTCAGGAAGCATTCTTGCTCCACGTGTAAAGTTACTGGATTGCCTGGACCGTAGTAAGTGCTCAATAAATATCATCTATTACTATCAGCATAGCAACAACGGTGAGGGCGAAACACCTTCACTGGTGCTGGAGAAGATGTGGGGGCAGGGTAGGATGGGTATACAGCAGGCAAGAGTAGAAGAAATGGAGCAGGCAAAATACTATGTAGAAATCATCAGTCACTGTCTATTTCTGCCAATATTCCGAGTTCCTATGCCAGTCATCAGCAAGAAAATTACATATACTCTGTACGACTTCTCAACTGACAAGAATTTGCTACTGTGGAGATACTTTCAGAGTTCTGTAGCATCACCTGAAAATTTCTACATAGTATTTTGATTTCTACATAGTATTTTGATTTCTACATAGTATTTTGCCTGCTCTGTATTGTTCAAGGTGTGGATTGGCACTGGCAAGACTTCTGTCAGATGAGATCGACCAGGTATGCTGGACTCGGGCTCATGTTCACAATCCTGCCCTGTTGATCAGAGTCTCACTGGGCCCTGGGCCAGCGCAATAGAAGAATGCAGAGCTCTAACAGCACAAAGGACAATAGCCTGGACATATGGTGGCCACAATACCTCCCCCTAGGGGAAAGCAGGAGAGGTCGGGGAGAAGTATGAGAGGGGCAGGTGGGTCTCTTAAGAAAGTGTAGTGAAGCAGTATTACTGCATTGGAAAACTGCAGGAAAGCCAGCCACCAATTAAACAGCCAGAAAATTCCTTGCAGTTGAATCAGACTCAAGAAAAGCATACAGTGATCTTTTTGAACAGCTTTGCCTTCTGAGCTTATGGTTAAATCCTCCTAATTAGTAACAAGAAATCTTCTGAAAAGTGAAAAGAAATGTCCTAAAACCAGATTAAAAAGTCAAAATGGTGGTCCTGAAATTGACACCTTACTGGTAGCTCTGCTTTTTTCCTCCCTTGAAAAATGTGCTTTTACCTCTGGGTAAACCTTAAAATTTTCAGATGATGCTACAGAACTCTGAAAGTATCTCCACAGGAGCAAATTCTTGTCAGTTGAGAAGTGGTACAGAGTATATGTGATTTTCTTGCTGATGATTGGCATAGGAACTCGGAATATTGGCAGAAATAGACAGTGACTGATGATTTCTACATAGTATTTTGCCTGCTTTGGCTTGTAAAATCATTCAATGTGATGGGCTTGACACAGTTTTTAGGCTCAGTATATGCAGAAAACAGCTTTGTATATTGATGGACCAGAAAGTTGGCCCTGCATCGGCTGCTCCTTAGAGCGACACTTTGTGCCAATCAAACACATCCTGGCCTGCACATCCAGGGTTTACATCATTTGCTTTTCATGAAGCTATTGTTGGTTACTAGAAGAAGCAGCTAATATTATGATTTTTTTAGCAGCATTTTGACACAAAATGGAGGTATCTATTTGTAATAGAGTGAATTATCTTGTAAACTCTTGCTGTTTTGCCCTTTTGAGAAAAAGATACAATTTCTATTTTGCTAAGAAATTAGACTAACCCAAATAGCTAAATGCTAAGAGTATGAAACACCACAGAGCATAGCTAAGTAAGATGTCGTCCTCAGATATCTAAAATTTTTGTGGTATACTCAAGTTTTCCCTAAGAGCCTCCCTCAATATGCACTAATTGTATGTTAGGGTTCTGCTATGGGTTGAAAGTCCTCTATAAAACTCATGTTGAGATTTAATTGCCATTGTAATAGTGTAGAGAGATGGGACCTTTAAGAGATGACTAGGTCATGAGGGCTGCCCTCATGAGTGCATTAACCATGTGAGTGTGAGAGTGGGTTAGTTATCACAGGAGTGAACTTGTCCAGGATAAGTTCAGCCCCATTCTCTCTCTATCTCTTGCATTCATCACTTGCCTTTCTGCTTTCTGCCCTGTGATGACACAACAAGAAGGCCCTCACCAGATGGCCAAGCAGATGCTGGCACCAAGCCCTTGGACTTCCCAGCCTCCAGAACCCTGAGCCAAGTACATTTCTTTTGCTTATAAATTACCCGGTCTGTGGTATTCTGTTAGAGCAGCAGAAATGGACTTAGCCAGGTTCCATGAGAGGGATTATAGTCACAGCAAAACACTATAAGAAAAATGCTACCAAAAGAGAAATAAAGAGAATAAAGAGAAGTACAGAAGTACAATATTTTAGGTTTTCTTGTTATGAATAATTTGAACTAAATTTCAAACTTAGAATAACTTCTCCAGATTACCTAAAATTTAATAATAACTTTCTTAGTAAACATCTTCTTTATTAACCATACAAGTTAATGTGCTAAACTGATTAGTGAAGACTAGGTAAAGTACTAATAGGGTTAAGCATTTCTTGGAAACATTCTTTCTTTCTTTCTTTTTTAAAAAAGTCATAGGGCCAACCAAGTCATTGTCCTATAGAAGAACAATGAGGATTTGAGCATCTAGACCATGTAGGAACTTATAAATCTTAGATCAAGTCTTATTTTTGCATTAGAAACCTCTTCAAAGGACATTTACTAGGCTACAATAATCAACTTTATAACTGTCAAATGTGTTATTAAAAATATTTGGAACTAATGAAGTGACTTTTTTAAAGTATACAATTAGTACACTAATAATGCAGATTATTATTATTTTTTTCTTAATAACCAATTAAATATCATGAGGTTCATGGCAATTTCTCCGCAATGGTTTTGTGAGGTCAATCAGGTGAATCATGGACCACTCAGGTCTTCCTGAGAGTAGCTGAAACCAACGCCAATACCAAGGACCAAACAGAATCCTCAGAGATTGCTTTTTATAAAACAGAGTAAATTCTGACCCTAATGCAGAAAATTTACACTTTTGGGTTCTCTGACAGGCAATTTTTTATTTCAGCTTGATTAAGGAGGCAAATTTAGTGGATTATTTAGTGTTGTAATTATAGTAATTAAAATATAAAATGAAAATCTAAGATATTAACAAATAATAATTGATGTAATCTATGGTCATATTCTTGATAAAATTTTATCAAGTCACTAGATAAAACAAAATGTCAGCCTTCTGTCACTTTTCAAATGGTTCTTGACTTCAGATAGTCAGACTATAATATTGAATTTGACTCCTCTACAGAAGTGAATTGTTTAACAATTTTGACCTCTTCATTTCTAAAGATGTGTCCACTATTCATAATAAAGGGAAATAGGTGAGATTTGAATTAACACTTACAGTAGTTCTGGCAAAAATATAGATGGGGAAGGGTGTGAAGTGATCGGCTGCAATTAGCACCAAGTACATAGCAGTCACTCGATAAATTCTTAATTAATTAGTTAGGTACTTAGTTCATTTTTTCCTTCTGGTTTTTATCATGTCTAATCAAAGTTGATTATAATTATAATACCACGTAAAGCTACCAATGATTGTAAGTTATATCTTTAAAAATTGATGAGAAAATTAATGCTTACTCTAAATGTACATGACTTTGTTATTCTAGTCTCACAAAACATTTGAAAACCACAGCTGTTGATAATGTTTTTGATTTGCCAGATCCTGTAACAGTCCACTTACTTTGCCTTGAACATGGCATTTGTACCACATTAAAGTTTGGCAAGCTTAATCTTTGCTAACCACTGGCAAATGTGAACATGCTATAAAATACAAAAACATACTTCAGCCAAAGCCATTATCAGGTACATATTTGTTTGGATTTGACTAAGAAATCTCTAATTTGTTCATGTGCACTTGCCATCTTTACATCATGCATGATCATTACTCTCGCAATTTATATATCATGTGCCTGACAGCCAACTAAGCTCTAAGTGCTGGTAAGGGAGGAAGAGAGAGAGGAGAGGAAGAAAGAAATCTATTTTACTTCTAATAGTGTGAGCACAAACTTCCATAAGCTCTCAGAGGGAGCTCTCCCGGTGGTGACCTTCCCCCTCCTGCCCCCTGCCTGCCCCACACTAAAAATGTGTTTGAGTAGTTGGCATATTCTCTTTCATACCATCCCATAAGCAGCTCTATCCTTGCATTTATCTGCCTATAAGCCTCATACCAGAGTAAAAACTATGTTATCTGGCTCTTCACCAAGACTAAGCTCAAGGAAACCATCATCTCTAATATTCGTGGAGCTCTTTAGCCTGGAAACCCATGCCATGCAGAGAGGCAGCGCAGGCAGTGCGTGACACTGAGGTCACATTTCTGTTTTGCTCACCCACTCACCAGACAAGGCCAGCCAGAGCAGGGTGTGATTCCGGGCAGAGCTTGCCACTTAGTCATACTCCCTCCCCAGTGAGCATCATAAAAGAAATTTCATTAAATTCCCATTTATTGACTAACTTTCCCACTTAGTGGCCCCATAACCTACAACTATGGCATCTTATATTTACCTCATGATATGTTGTGAAGTAGAAAAGGTGGGAATGATGTGATTATTATTTCTATTGTACAGAATGAAAGGGAAAGGTTACTTGCCACATCTGGACCAGAACTAACATCCCCTCGTCCTCGCTCTCCGTCCATGCCCACCTTTCAGTGTCTTGTGGCAGGGACTACATTCTATGCATGCTTTTCAGTGCCAGGAGATGAACACCTGCAATGAGTAGAGTGCTGAACATAAACACAAGGGAATACAACAAATCAACCACCTCCAACAAAACGAACCAAAAGAAAACAAAGAAACGGATCCTTCTTCTTAATCGTCATTTACTATCTTTACAATTGAAAATAAGCATTTACTGTCTTCTCTGGTTGTTTGACTGAATTTAATTTTCCTTGGCATGTAATTTATCACAGACAGAGCCTTAATACCAAAGCTTTCAGCCCTATCTTGCATCTTATTTTCTATTTGCTTTTTGTTTTATTTATTTATTTAGGCTTGGCTCCCAAGTCTAGGTCAGATATGAAGGGGAAACCAATCTGGCATCATCAGTTTGTATCTTTCAGATTTCACGATCTGAGCTAATCACCACCAGGTTGTCAGTGTGGCAATCCACGCTGACCATGGAGACATCAGAGGGAGCACATCCTTCTACAAATACCACATAAATGTCACTGCAGGTCGCAGATATTTTAAAAACTCACCTGTGACCTCTACTGGCCATGTTACCAAAATACAACAGCTACCATGCTTGCAGAAGTGTTTCCATATTTTCACTCATTTATTTAGGAAATATTTTTAGCACCTGCATTGTGCCAGGCACTATTTAAGGGATTACAGTAAAAAAAAAATACAAAAAACAAAAAACCACCAGACAAAAACCCTTCCCTCTTAACCACTTCAGTACCAGCGATGACTGCAGTCGACAGCCACAGATGAACGCACACAGCGACTTTAGCTGGCAGCCGTGATGTGACTTTTCTAATTTTTCATTTATCAAAATAAAATTGTGAACATTTAAAAATAATGTAATGAAAACATATATGTATATGTTACCTATTCTGATTTACATGACAAGTAAACCTGCCCGTAAAGTGAAACAAGCCTTCAGAGCTTTCAAGCTTTCCTCGTCACACAAGAGCAAGACGGATTTGTCGTCAACGCACAGCGCAGACCGCCGTGCGGACTGTGAGTGCAGCTGTGGGCAAGGTTTTGTGGCCGGCGAGCACGGTACTGAAGTGTTTAAAATTTGGCAGGGGAGACAAACTAGAGACATTATAGATGAGTTCATTGTAGAGTACTTTAGAAGGTGATAGGTACTTTTAAAAAGAGAAAACATAAAGGGATTGGAAGTCCTGAGGAGGTAGAGCCAGAAAAGCAGGTTGCAGAGGGAAACCGGGTGCTCAGGACAAGCATTGCTGAGAGAGGGAAACTGAGCAAAGTCTTGAAAGAAGTGAGAGCCTCAGCAACTGAAGATTGAATGTGTAGTAGGTTTTCAAATTCAATTAGACGTTGTTCATTTTCAGCGAGAGTTTGTAAAGAGGCTTTGGAGGCAGTCAGACTTGTGTTCAAACCTTGCATCAGTCTGTTTTTGCTACTTCAACAAACACCGCCAAATTCTCAGTGGCTCAAAACCCACAGATTTATTTCTTGCTCGAATTTCATGAGGGCAGCATGTTGCCTGACGGTCAACTGTGACTCTCACGGCTCTGCTCAGCTGGATTCGGCTCAGCGTGTGTCGCCTCATCCCAGGAGCTGGGGCCAAAGGAACAGCTGCTCTCTAAGGCACGTGCTGTTCCCAGGAGGAGATCAAGGCTGAAGAGGGCCTCACCAAACCACACACCACTGCACGTTGCCACCTACGTGCGGCACATGGCAACTTCATTCACCTTCTGTTGACCATAAAAAGTTGAACCGGCCTAGCCCAAAGCCAGTGGGGGCAGGGAAGTGTATTCTGCCTACACAGAAGCATGGCAAAGGCGAGGACAAGGCAAAGGCAAGGACAGAATGCATGTTTGTGAATAAATAACACAACACACCCTTAATGAGCTCCTCATTACTTTTCAGCAGTTTTCATGGTCTATGCCCAGTTGCCACCACCACGTTGTTCCTGCGGCAATCCACACTGATCACTGGGACATCTGGAATGACAGGTCCTTGCACAAACACAGACATAAAAGTAACTGCAGGTCCAAGGTAAGTTGTAGGTGCCTGAACCGTCCTTTGTCCATCTGTGAAACAGGAATAAGAACAGACTACCTGAGAAGAATAAATGAGGTCATGATTGTGAATGTCTTTAGCATAACACCTGCCTTACAATAAATGCTAGTTGTTTTTGTTGTTGTTGTTTTGTTTTGTTTTGTCTTCTTCCAAAGGTGGCATCAGTCTGGCCCAATTCCTTTGGAGGTTTAGGAGGCCACGGGATGAGTTGGAAAACTGAGGAACCTGGGATTCAAAACATATAGATTCAGTTCTGATTCTAAATCCTACATAAATTCCTAATCTATAAAATTGGACGGCTGTCTACACAATCTGTAAGTCTTCCAGCACTAAAGATCCCCAATTTGGAATAAAACCTTTACTGTAGGTTTTTGCTTTTTCGCTAGAGTGGCTGTTTAGTTTTAACACCAGGTGGCGCTAGCCAACAACTTAATGGAAAAGGACAGAGTGGTTTTTGTTTTCCTGTTTGCTTGTGGTGAAATTCGAACAGTTCTAAACTATTTTTATTTTCTTCTTAAATGTGTATTGTTATAAAGCAGAACTTTTGCATCTGATGGTCCCTCAGAAACTACTACTCTGAGGAAATGGCACAAGCCGAGTGCTCTGGTCTAGACCCTCACACTTGGGGCGGGGCCCTGGGAGCCTGTGGGAATTTCTAGTTTTGCCTCTGAAGTGTGGAAGCTTCTCTTTTTTTGACCCGGGCATGAGATCATTGGAGCTGTGCTTCAGGATGACACGTCTAGCAGCCATGTGATGAGTTCCAGGAGCAGCTGGCCAGGGGGAGAAGCATCTGGGACTATGGTTTCCAACCCCTGGGCCGTGGACCACTACCAGTTCGTGGCCTGTTAGGAGCCCGGCCACACAGCAGGAGGTGAGTGGCGGGGGAGCAAGCGAAGGTTCACCTGTGTTCACAGCCACTGTCTCCCATCTCCCCCAGATGGGACCGTCTAATTGCAAGAAAACAAGCTCTGGGCTCCCACTGATTCTGCATTTTGGTGAGTTGTATAATTATTTCATTACGTATTACAATGTAATCATAACAGAAATAAAGTGCACAATAAATGGAATGCGCTTGAATCATCCCCAAACCATCCCCCCAGCCCCCCTACCCCTGTCCGTGGAAAAACTGTCTTCCATGAAACCCATCCCTGGTGCCCAAAAGGCTGTGGATAGGTCGTCTAGGAGGCTCTGAGAACAGGCCAGTGTCTGCTCCGTGGGTCTACACTGCGAGGGGCAGCGAGTGTAGACACGGGTCTACATGCCGTTGCTGCAGCATGAGGCAGTGGAAGGAGCTATGGCTTTGGGGTCAGACAGGTCTGGGGTTAAATCCTGAAACTCCAGCTCCACAGTGTTAGCACCTCGCTGCTCCCCTGTGGAACTGCCCAGAAGAGGACATGTCCTCTTTATGCTTCTGAGGTTCCTGTTTCCTTGGGCAAGTTACTTCATTTCTCTGCACCGCAAGCCCATCCGTGACACAGGGGGAAACCTGTAACACAAATCTCACAGATCTGCTGTGGGAAGTAAAGGTAGTGGCCACAGAAGAAGTGCTGAGCGAATGCCAGTTCTCTTTCCTTTTACAGAAAAGGCTACTGGGCTCTCGCATGTGAGACAAATTCGGGCAAATTCAACATCAGCATAGAGACAGATATGATGGCCGTGGTTGTCTGTGGCCACTTTTTGCAAGAGATGCTGAGCTCTCAGGATACTAGAGGCTCAAAAATTAAATCTAGTAAACTGGTGTACAGCTCGAGACTTAGGATACTCACTGGTCTGCACGAAGTAAAGAGGAAGGAGTTACACAACGTGTCTCTGTTCTAATTGCTCAAGCTCTACTTAACTGAAACCTTGCTTCACAGGAGATTAGCCACAGCCTCCGAGAGCACCGAAATCCTGAATTGCAAACCCTGTTTTGCCACTCACAGACCTGCGTAAATCTCAGTTGCAGTGAATGCCTCTCCTATTTCATTTATGAAATGACTATTTTGAGAGGATACTCACCATAGTCATTGTTGTATTAGTCCTTCTTCCAACTCTCCAAACTGGAGGAAGAAGAAATTAATGTGCAATGATAACGTTTCTATTTTGTATGTAAAGGGAAAACGATTTGCTCTTTTCAAGGAATACGGGAAAATTTGTGGGACATGAGGTTGTAGATAATTTCCAGAGATGGGTCACTGCTGCTTCCATCTTATTCTGGAGACAGGCAAAAAAACCACTGGTCACCAAAACACTCGTGAACAAATGCCCTATAGCAAATAAGTGTAGTGTACCCATGGAGGAGGGCATGATGTCAACAATTTACTCCCTAGGAAGGAGATGACTAAGAAAGAGCAATTGATGATGATGTTTCACTTTCACGAGAGTCAGGGGACACGATACCAGGGCGAGCCACAGAGGCACACGTTCCCCCTGATGGCGGGAAAATGGGCAAAGTTGTGCACTCACCGACAGCTGCTGTGAACGCAGCTGACAGATAGAAGCACATTCTAGTTCTGCTCACGTGGATGAGAACACCCTTCCCTTCCTTCACATAACCCAGATGGTTCCCTTTTCAAGTGACATAATCAATGGGCACGAGCCTCAGAGTAGATGTGCTTGGCAGCATAGCCCTCCCTTTCCCACCCTGTGCGTCACCACGCTCAGCTCCGTCAGATGAAGAGGACAGCAGAGACCACCAGGAAACTGTAAGTTTGCCGCCTGGTGAAACTGTATGGTCACAGCGTGCGAAATGCAACTGGTTTCCTAAGGCTCAGGACCAGGAGACACCAGAACGCACTATAGAGAAGATAACTGAGAATTATCCACCGCTGATTTTAAAGAAGCCAGTAGGAGTACAACCTCTATGGAAAGTACTATGGAGATGCCTCAAAGAGCTAAAAGTAGAACCTACCATTTGATCCCGCAATCCCACTACTGGGTATCTGCCCAAAGGAAAAAAAGATATTCTATAATGAAGACATCTGTACTGGAATGTTTATAGCAGCACAATTTACAATTACAAAGATGTGGAAACAACCCAAATGCCCATCAATACATTACTGGATTAATAAAATGTGGTATATGGATACCATGGAGTTCTACTCAACCACAAAAAACAACATGACCTAGCACCTCTCGTATTATCCTGGATGGAGCTGGAGCCCATTCTACTAAGTGAAGTATCCATGAGGATTGAAAAACAAGCACCACATGTACTCACCATCGAATTGGTATTAACGGATCAACACTTAATGTGCACACATAGTAGTAACGTTCATCAGGAGTTGGGCAGGTGGGAGGGAGATGAGGGGATGGGTAAATTCACACCTAACAGATGTGGTGGGGGCTGTCTGGGGGATGGGCACACTTGGATCTCTGGCTTGGGTAATGCAAAGGCAATTTATGTAACCAAAGCGTTTGTACCCCCATAATACTCTGAAATTTGAAAAAAACAGGTTAAATCACCAATATCATCTCCAAATTATGGACAATAATTTTATTTAAGAAATAAAATAACAGAATAAGAAAAAAAAATAAAGAAGCCAGTAGGCAGATGACTTTCTGGGATGAATTTAAAAAAAATTTTAATTGACACGTAATAATTATACGTATTTATGGGGTACATAGTGATGTTGCAATAAATGTATAGTGATCAGATCAGGATAATTAGCATATCCATCATCGCAAACATTTATCATTGCTTTGTGTTGGGAACATTTAATACCCTCCTTTTAGCTATGTGAAACTATATATTATTGTTAACGATAGTCATCCTACAGTGCTATAGAACACTAGAACTTGTTCCTCCCCTATCTAGCCGTAATTTTGTGTCCTTTAACAAATCTTTCCCTATCTCCCTCTTCCCCCTACTCTTCCCAGATTTGTGTTAAATTTAAAGAGAGGCCCGGATGCCAGGGAAGAAGGCCTGGGGTCTGTGCGAGCAGAGGCTCACAGGAGGGCAATACAGAGATGTGGTCACGGTGTTCAGGGGGCTGACACACAGCTGGGCAGGTCCCAAGAGCGGATTTTGTCCGTGTTGCTGAGTGGTGAGTTTGTGAGACTAATCCTTGCTAACTGAACTGTCAAGAGCTTGCCACAGCCAACAAAACACAATGTATTTACTGGTAACAGGTACCCAGTAAGGCCTCCCAGGGACCTCCCGGCTGGTTTCCTCAATCTAGGTCATATTCTGCCGTTATCAAGGTATCTGGGAGACCAAGTTCATAATGAGCATGTTGCTTGTGAACAAGGATTCAGAGCAAAAGCATTGGATCAACTCAAGGGGTGTTTCCTCTGGGCATGAGAAAAGCTTTCTGAGTAAAATGGGCTTTCTGGGTGATCTGAACACAAGGAATCCCCAGAAAAAGTGTCTCTCTCCTCTGGAAAGTGTTAGACAATCAGCCTCCCCTTGCCTAAATAAATGCGAGTCACCTCCTACGGCAGCTCCACACGCCCGTCCCGCCAGGCCGCCTTCAGATGGAGCCCGAGCCTCACCGCTTTCTGGTACACTCGGCCACTTTTCAGCTCCCTGTTACCAGCTCTCCGCGAGGGTCACTGATGGTGGGTCTCTTCAACAACACTTTGGTTCTCATTAGTTCCTCTGGCGGAATGATTTGCAAGTTCTGGGGACACTTTAGCACACGTGTGGCACGTTCCCACAGCCTGCCTGGGGGCTGGGAGATGCCTCCCTTGGCCTTGTTCGGCACCAGTTATTCCGTTCCTCTGTGGAATGCGTTTTTATTTATTTGCCTCCACACATTCTCACCTTCCTGGAGGAAGAGGCGAATGCGAATGAACTGCCCCGCCTTTCCCCACAAGAAAGTAATTTTTTTCACCTTAGGTGGGCCATCTGCTTCTCCTAGCAGCTCGGCTTTCACTTGAAGTGAATACATTTTGTCCCAGGCATCCTGCCAGCCACAGGCTCCAGGAGATGGAGCAACTGAAAGTAGTTTCCTTATGATGTCAGGGTCTTTGTTTTTTTAAATGGAACAACCTAAAGGAAATTATGCACCAGTGTTCAGAGGCGTCATTCACAGAGTGGCAGGAGTCTCAGGGCAACAACATGAGCTGTATATGAATTTCCTAAGGATTAATCCCATCGCACATGTCGGTAGATCTAGCGGCGGGCCTGACAGATGGAGGAAATTGAGTATTTGCTTTAGGACCCAAAAGAGACCCCTAAGCTAGAGATTCTTGACCCAGGACGCAGATCCAATTCCCCTACGGGGTTTTCAGTTTCCACGCCT